TCTGCACCAGCAGCCCCTGCTGGGAGACACACAGTGATCAGTCTGCACCAGCAGCCCCAGCTGGGAGACCCACAGTCATCCTTCTGCACCAGCAGCCCCAGCTGGGAGACACACAGTCATCCTTCTGCACCAGCAGCCCCAGCTGGGAGACACACAGCAGCCATTCCTCCTCTACTTAATTTGTAACATTAAGTGGAAGAATGTGCAGCAACAGTGTCGAATTGTACCAACTTTCATTGACAGTGATTGTCTGGTTCTTTTGTAACACTTGATCATGCACTAGTGATTTTATATTTTGCAGCAATAAGGAAACAATTCCTGTCAATTCACAGACCTCCAGTGGTAATCAGTAGTGATTTTATAGGCGTGTGAGCTGCTGCTCAACACATACTGTCAAACTATACATCAGTGAATCTTTAAGAAAAATAGATCTTGTTATAAAAAGAGTATGACTTTCAATACAGGCCCTCGCCTGTTGAATTAATAGCTGATAGCTGGGTAAAGTTTTTTTTTAGAGATTCTCTCCTTCATATTACACTGACTCACTACTTAGGGGGTATGTTTATTAGTTTCAGAAGATAATCCCATCTTACTCTTTCAGTGTGGGGACACATTCACGTCATCTAATTGACAACCTCCTGCCAATTTTGTCCTCCGATTCATCGTATTCTCCATTCACACACACACACACTAAGCGATTCTCTAGGAGGGACGTTTGTGCTGCAGACAGCAGGGTGAAGTGCAATCACAGAGGAGGAAGTGGCCATTTTGTTTTGCAAGAAACACAAGCAGTCATAACAGGAAACAGCTCAGCTCAGCGTTCTGTTAGGTGCCCGCAACCGAGGGTGCAGACAAGGCATTGGGCCCTGCTGCTATAATTAAACAGACAAGCAAACTAGTCTTGTATGGGAGAGCCAATTCAAGCACGGTTTACCGGCCGCAGGCTGTCGTACAAATCATAAAAGTGCCGTTTGAGGTCCAGAAAGACAGCTCTCCTCCAGAGGAATCACTGAGCATGAACGCCTGCAGTTCCGAATTCGGGAACCAGTCAGCGTAGCCACCTGGAATGAGGTATACACTGTGAAATGTGACACGGGGATAAGAAACCAGCGTGGACATATTCATATTTCAGCTTTCCTTCTGTTATGGCAGGCCGGGGGAGGAGGGTTAATACTGATTATAATAACACGCACCTGCACGTGCAAATTTACTAGGAAAAAGGCGACAAGTCTGAAATGGGCAGTGCGTGCTTTCAGCTCCTCTGTCAACACGGTGTGCTCAGTCCTGGAACTCCAGGGTGAGCGGTCCATTTCTGCAGGGCTGGACTCCCGCGAGCCTTGTTATGGCGTTTTCACTCGGAAGTGTGACAGACAAAGGGGGGAAGTCTCAGTCTGACTGGGTCAAGTAAGGGGGTCAATCCAAGCACCGTGTCCTGTAGACCCACGGCCCTGAAGCTGAAGATTTGGACGGACGTACACAGGAGGAGGAGGAGGAGGGGAGGACAGACAGCTGCTGCTGCAGAAGTCACAGGGCTCTCGGACACTGGACCCACCCCAGTCCCTCCCTAACGAGCAGTACAGCGAAAAACCAAACGCCCTGCCCAGAACCTTCCCGTTTCCTCATCACAAACCACTGTCCTGTGCGGCCGGCTCTTGAGCATTCCCGTGCTCAATTTTTAAAAGTTCCGATCTTGAAAAATGTTGTCATCTAAAGGCAAGTCCCCATCCTCCCCATTATCCTAGGAAGAAGCCTGTGCAGCCCCAGGACCGATAGAAATATAGCAATAAAAGATGAAGACTGAGACGGAGATAAACCAGCTTTGTAATTCTGGGTAGCTTCATGTCATCTGAAAGCTAATTACTTTCTGTGCTTTGCTCTAATAATCTGCACTGAATTAAGTTCTTCTTCTTCTATCCAGAGTTTTGCCAAAAACGATCTTATGTACATTGAATTGACTAAGCAACAACAAAATTCATGAAGATGCAATACAGTGCGTCTCAAATACAGTAAGAGGGCCCTACATGTATCGTGTACAGTACTGTGTTTTAATCTCAGAAAAAAAAATCCCCACTTTGAACTGGAAAAGCAAAAGCAAATTTAAGTTTCTGCAGGGACACTCAGCATGCATTTTGGAAGATTATAGCTGTGTGCCTGATTGTCTTCTCGAAAGGGAAAACGGAATGGGCTTCTACAGTAAATGTTTGCTGTACTCGGCCCAAGGAGGTAATTATATAGCGCTACTTTCGGGAGGCAGTCCAGGTGAAAATATGTCCATTGTACTGTAGCAATAACCAACATCTCGGAATCTGAAGGAGATAAAGCTCGCTTTTGTTTCCGAGTTTCTATGTTGTTTCACGTTGGAAATCCCGTGATAATCCAGCACGGTCAAGTCCGAGTTTCCGAGCTGGTAATGATTTCTAGCAATGAAAAAAAACAACAACACTTACGTGTTCCCTGGTCCTCGAGATCCAGGTTTCCAGGAGCAACGCCAGGCGCGTGCTGTGAAACTTCTCGGTGGTCTTCACGGCGATGAAGACGTCCTGCAGCCGCAAGGCGCCCGAGGGGGCCGGAGTCGGGGTGCGCCGCTGCCCGGCGCGCTCGGACAAGCGGCGCCTCCTGTCCTCGATCTGCCTCTCCAGGTCCGCCAGGCTCCGGTTCATCGCGGCGGCGGCGGCGGTGTCCGGGCGCTGGGCGGAGCGGACCGAGTTCCCGGCCAGCGGCCGCGCCGGGTGGCTCTCGGGGCGGGGGAGCTCCGCCGACGGGCGCTGTCTGGGGCCGGAGCCGCCGAGACCCCCAGCGGTGCCCGGCTTCAGTCGCTCCTCCGTGCGCAATTGCAGGTCCACAAGCACGACGAGGAAAAGCGTCAGAGACGTCCCCGAGAGAGCGAGTAACATCCTTTTGATCAACATGGTGAAAAACGTCGCCTGTAACCCTAATAGAATATATACCCAGGGACTGATAAAGCGAACGAGCGCGGTTTAAAGTCTCTCTTTCCGGCGAGTAAAGCCTGTCATTATCAGCGGTAGCATCTTGTTAAAACGCGCTCACACGCCGCACAAGTGACAGATGACTCCCTGTAAGTACTGTACTCGTGTTGAGCGTCTCTCCCCCCACCCCAGTCCAAAAACAATTTATATTCCGAACCAAGTTCTAAAGTAACTATTCTTTTTGTCGTCTTTCCGCCCCTCTCCTGCTGTGTCCTGGGCTACAATTTAATTTTCATGTGCTGGTATTAAAAAAAAACACATTTCCGCAAGTCAGTGTAAGACAAAGGCGTGGGTCTTGTGCGTCAAAACTGAAACTGGCGAGCGCCCTGCTAGCGCAGTCTTTCCTGACAGAAACTGAGCATCATTCAAGAGCTGAATTAGCGCTCAGCAGAAACAGCAACAATCGCTAAACAAGTTTAAAGCTGGAAGTGACGGTGGCGGACGAAATGTTGTGTTTTTCCTCCCTGTCAAGTTTTACTCCGCGTTCCTCTCCTTTGCCACCTGCGGCGCCCGGAGCGGAAATAACGGAAACGATGGGGTGAAATGTTTCTATAATTTCGGTTTGAACGATTTTTCCCCCCAGCCCTGACAGTCTTCTCCAGATTTAGCCTGGCCGGGATGAATACTCCTCACGGTCTCGTCAGAATTTAAAGTTAGTGTCGTCTCTCTTCCATCACTACTAACAACCCCCCGCTCGCAGAAATCAGACCGACGCCCGCTGGTGTAACACGGGTTTTGAATAAATGACCAAGGTCGATATTTGCTTCCCGTCTGCTCAGTGTTATTGGGGCTGGTTCCTGTGCAGGAGCTTGTTCTGTCAGTTTCCTGGCGAGGAGCTGGGGCGAACGCACGGAGAAACACACACACACACACGGCCTGTGTTTCTCACTTTCAATAGGGGTAATTTCTAGACGGATTTAGCCCAGCCGAGAGGCTACTGGGACAGGTGCAGTGGCCAGCGGATGTAGAGGCGACGCCAGGTGTTTGCGGGTCGCCCACTGTCGCAGTACAGGGCCCCGCTAGCCGGCTTCAGTGACGGAGTTCGAGCGGCTGTAACAAAAACCAAACGAACAAGAAACCCTCACGTCCTCTGCGTGTATTGCAGCGTTTTAAACCCCAGTGGCGGAGGAATATCTTGTTTCTGCTGGCCTGGAATTCGACGTTCTCGCTGGGATGCGTCCCTCAGAAGGCGCCAGGACCCCGGATTTCTGCAAAGCGAAACTCGGGAGTGTTTCAATAAGACGAGGGCAGACGGTAAAGGGGGTCTTAATAACTTCGGGAAGGGTGTCTGGAGTGCAGCACCAGCTCCAGATAGGATGATAAATGGCGCACGTTGTCTGTATGTAGGACGCTGGCAATGAAGAGCCCTCACGCTGTCTGGGACCGGACGCCCTCTCTCACTGGGTTTTCTTCAAGGCCAGCTCTCAGCTCTTCCTACACTGCACACTGAGATCCGTTTGAGCTGTTTTAATGGATTTCAGCATTAAAACGTGTTAGAGGTTGCCATTTAAATATCGCATTTCAGAAGTGAAACAAAATGCATAGCCTTCAGAGTAGAAGAAAAAAAAAACTTACAGCCCATATCCCAAACCAGCAATTCGCTTGTTCAATTCAGGCTTCGCTGGTGGAATGAAGCCAAGCTGGGATGAAGAACTGTAGGTGTGTGGGCACCCTGGACCAGTACTGGGAACCCCTGCTGCAGAGTCTCTCACAGCTCTCTCCAAACCAGAGGGGTCCCCTGTGAGGAATGACCAATAATAGTGAGTTAATTAGTTCAATTAAGTCAGGTGTGGCCAGCTGTGGTTCTTGAGAGCTACAAGCTGTTAGGATTTTCATTCCCAATGATCCCTAATCTGCAATTCTCTTCAGTGGGGGAATCGTTCTGAGAGAATAAGGAGCTGGTTAAAGAGCCTACTGGGGCGTGTCTGTCCAGACCCGGGCTTGGCCACTGTCCCGGTACTGCTCAAGACCAATCGGATCTCTGGGGCTCGAACCCTGGACTCCATTCCTCAGGGCCACTGGGACGCCCAGGCTGGATTTAATCAACTCAAATTTATTAAAAGATAACATCCACACAATTACTTTTTTTCATCTGTGATCTTGAACGAGGTTCAGACATGAAATAGGGCCTCGGTGCCGCTGAAAACAGCAGAGTTACCGCCTGGTAATTTATGGGATTCTATCAGAACTGGCCACGGTACAATCACGTTGCTTTTATCGTGATGAACCACAATGCCTACTGTAGTGCGAGTGAGTATCACAGACATTCTGCAGTGAAAACCCATGACGTACACTAGTTTCACTTCTGTTTATTCTGGGATGTCATGGTGACTGCGCAAGTACTTCATTTCCTCTTGAGACAGACTAAGCCACCGTAACTCTCCCCAATTCTTAATTTGTGATGACGACAATGGAGATTAACCCTGCAGCTCTTAACTGGATACCGGCTGAAGCTCAGCAGGGTTGAACCTGGTCAGTACCTGGATGGGAGACCTCCTGGGAAAAACAAAGGTTGCTGCTGGACATGGTGTTAGTGGGACCAGCGGTGTGGGTCCTAATGCCCCGGTATAGTGGCGGGGACACTATACAGGAGTTCGCGGCGTCTTTCGGATGAGACGTTAAACCGAGGTCCTGACTTGCAGTGGTCATTTCTCGATAAGAGAAGGGAGTTCTCCCAGTGTCCGGGCCAAATTTCCACCCTCGGCCTTTACCGTGGCCTCCAAATTGTCCCCATGTATGATTGGCTTGCACTGGCCCTGTGATGGACTGGCGTCCCACCCAGGGTGTATCCTGCCTTGAGCTCGTTGCTTGCTGGGTAGGCTCCGGCTTCCCACAACCCAGTATGGTATAAAGCGGTTTGGTAAATGACATGACAATGGAGATTAGTCAAAGCAGGTTAAAATAACTTCATGCTTTAATATTCACTAGCCTGTAACGGTGAACAGGGTAACTACTGTATGGCTTTCTTGGATACTGGCCAGATATTATTATGTCCGTTAAATCACATGTGTTTTTATTTCTATCGAAGAGCTGGAGATCTGACATTACATGTAAAATGTGACAGTTAAAAGACAGTCTCCTGTGTGTTTAAGGAGTTCAGATTAATTCCATTTCTATGCTCTGATCATTTTAGATATAAACAAGTATCACAATAGATGAATGATGGGTTCAGTAATGTAAGTTAGTTCCCAGGACTGGGGTAGGGACTTCTCTGTTAAATGAATAGTCCAGCACAATTCTACAGCAGTCATTACAGGTAATGAAGACACTGAAAGCAGCACAGCAGTAACACCTACAATACGATTAGATTTCTGATCATTGCCTCAGAATGCTCATCTCTGATGCATCAATCCATCTGTCTGTCCAACAAGTAAACCAAAGAGTCAAATCATCAGATATAGTATACACAGGGAGGACAGATCTACAGACAGAGCCAGAAAAATCTAGACAGATTAGCAGTCAGATGGACAGATTCCCGTTCTTTTTCCCTATGTATGAATTCTTTGTTTGTATCCGCCCCCATGGTTCTCTGGGGTGCAGTCTGAGCCCCTGGAAAGCTCTGCAGTGGACACTGGAGCAGATTGTTTATGAATTAATCCTAAACAGGTTTCCCTGATCTCCGATAAGGAGGAGAGCTTAACTGATGCCGGGAGCAGAGGGAGAGAAGTTGGACTCGGCAGGGCTTGCGAATTATCCGGCCTGTGAAAGGGCTGCACAGCCTCAAATCTGGCATGTTATTCTAATTTGTCAAGTTCTGTTTGTGCTGACTGTCATTGCACAGTCATGTCACAAGTGTAAAGGCAACACTGGCAAAACAAACCCCTTTAAACTCCACCAATGAAAGCCTGGCCAGCTCAGAATTACAGTTTCCAACTCCCATTGTCAGCAGAGCAGTAGGAGAGGGAGAAGCCCAGTTTTGCACATCTGCAGCTATAGACTTGTGCTCCTTGTGATATCTTATGTGCTCTGGCATCTGTGCTCTGAATTCTCTGGCAAACTCCAATGGGCTCATTCTGAACTTGGATGAGAGTCCAGTTCCATGAAGATCACCGGAGTCAAGCCTTGTCTGTGCCATTTGTCAGGTGTGGTCAGGACTTCATTACTGGTAACACAGAAGAGGCTAATTGGATGGGGCAGAAGATTCATTCATTTGTCAATTTTCTTGTGAGTTTCATCCAGCACAGGGTTGTTGGGGGAGCTGGAGCCTATCCCAGCAAGCAGCGGGCACAAGGCAGGATAAACACTGCACAGGACACCAGTCCATCACAGGGCAGACAGAAGCCAATTAACCTACCAGCATGTCTTTGGGCTGTGGGAGGAAACCGGAGACCCAGAGGAAACCCATGTGAACACAGGAAGAACATACAAACTCCACATAGACAGTAAAAAAAGGCAACTGCAGATTCAAAACAAAATATGCATTCAAGCAGCATCAGCAAAAAATATATATTTATAGCTGTTATGTGCTAAGAAGAGATGCAATTTAGATATCTGACTTCTGAAACAACAAATGGAATGATTTTATGATGGCTACATTCACAATGCTTTTTTGGGAAAATGACAAAACACACGTTTTCTTGTGTACCACAGAATGTTTGCTGTTTTCCCCATGGACGTTTTTTTCTTTAAGGTTTTTTTTTTTAAAAAGGAGAACTTTTGTTACCACCGTTATTATTATTTTTTTTCTCAGAAATCTCAAATTACAATCTTCCATTGAAAGGTTCTGCTCACCAGCTGCTGTGTCTCTCTAACCCTCTTTCCTCTCCTCCCCTCCCCAGAAAGCACAGCACCACCTCCTCAAGCATGGTCCCACAGGTATACCAGAGAAGCCTGGGCACACCCTGGCTAGGAAAGGCCCAGGATCGGTTTACGGCCTAGTTCAAAAGACCCTTTTACAAGAGGAAGGACACAGCTCCTGAGCCCGGACAATGAAACGCAGGATCAAACCCTTTCAGTCTTTATGCAAGACTTCAGCGTCACAGGAAGGACTAGTCATATTCACTTTGGCACCTACTATGGAAGTAAACAGCAGGGTCATGCACATAGACCATGAAGAACAGGCACTTACCCAGGGCAAAAAACATAAAAACATAAAATCATAACTTCTGCAAAAATACTGCTACAGTATCCCAACAACAAAACAAAATGGTAGCAGCACATATTCTAATATCGTTTGGGTGTCTTTTAGTTGCAAACAAACTAAATTAATACATTTAGGAAAAAATATATTATTAAATAAATTGTTTATGATTCTAAGAGTGACTAAACCAAATACTTTACCATATGCATTTAATACAAAAGTATTCAAAAATTAATTTGGTGAACAAAATCAGAGTTTAAAAAACATTTTCTGGACAAGCTTTTATCTGGGCTCTTTTGAAAACCAGACTGTATTCAAGTCTGTGTTTAAGACAAACCAGTTCAATGCCATGCCTGCGAAATTGATTTCTGGACCCTACCAGTGTTATCGCGATTTATAAAGACCTGGCATTCGTGGCAATGTAGACCGATGACGCAAACAATTGATTGAAATCAAGTCATAAAGCCTCCAGAGTAGAGTAAAATCCCACAGGCACAGCAGACCTCAAAGTCCAGGAGTACAGTAATAATAATAATAATAATAATAATAATAATTGCTTACACTTATATTGCGCTTTTTCTGGACACTCCACTCAAAGCACTTTACAGGTAATGGGGACTCCCCTCCACCTCCACCAGTGTGCAGCATCCACCCTTAGCTCTATAATTCAAAATTTCCTGGAAAAAATGGCCACACACCTTTGTCTTACCATTCAGTTATAGTCACAGTGAACCCAGCTTAGTCTTCCATTAGACAGCTGGCTGAACCATTTCAGGTTTTATAAGCTGAAGGGCTGTAGTATGTTACCCTCTCACACATCCGTCTGTGCAAAGGTATTCAGAGTATGGCGCAGAGCTCGGACAGATCCCACACCTGTTGCTGGCTTGGATACACAAGAACCCACAGCTGAGGACCCCTGTAATGAAATAAGCCCCTGTGCTGCTGTCTGTCCGTGCTCCTCTTGCAGGAAATTGTATCAGATAATGGTCTCCTAAACTAGTTTCAGATTAACCTCTCTGAGACTGCAAAGGAGTTAAAGGGTCGAACACGAGGGAACATTTGGTCTGGATCATTTTCTTGGACAAAACCGTTAACCAATAGGGCTACGTGACCAATATTATCATTTTTGTGGGGAACACGGTAGCCTATTAATGAACAGGAAGTGACAATGTATTGAATATGGGCACCAACCTTAAAAAATAAAACAATAAAGAAATTGCGGATCTTATACACTGATTGTTTTGTTTTTTCTTACACAGGAGAATACGCCATTGCTGCCTTGTGGTGATTATGCAAAGGTGTCAATATACCAAAAGGTCAGTGTGTTCCAGGCAAATTTGCTTAATTTTAGATGCAACTGGAAAAGCAGCTCTTCAGGCCCAGGTGTCTTAGCCACGTGGCAGATATTACCATAAGGGCGCAGTAGGTTCTGCCAATTCCTGATGTGAAGGACAAAAACCTGGGGTTTTCCATTATCGTGTCCCAATCCAGCTGATAATAGAGACTATCGTGACTGTTCTTCTGATTGGGCACATTCTGCCATTCACTGCAAATCTGTTAAACAGAGAACCCAAACAATACACCTTGAAAATAATAAAAGATTCCAGATGCATTTAATTCTACCCTTCATGAAGAATTACGCAATACCATTTTGTCTCAAGGTACTATAATTACTGCAGTTGAGCAAAAGCTCATTGCGCTATATTCTTAACATTTAGAGGAAGCTTTAAAAACCTGCCTGTCTCAATACCCCATTTTCAGTTGAAACTAAGGTCCCTGAGGTCTGACAGAGAGACCTTTATCATTTTCATAGCAAATTTATGCTGAAGAGTATTTAACCCTAGACAGGGGCTAGGCATGCATATGTTGTTAATGAGATCGAGTAGTCCTGAAATCATCACCTCCCTGGAACAAAAGACACACCTTCCCACACAGAAAAGCAGAAAAAGCCATCTACTGTGGTTGCCACAGTATCTGAAACTAAAACACATTGTCATTCATACTGCAAAGACTAGTACCCCTTCTGCATGATAACTAGTAAAAAGGCTAAATCCAGTCTGGATACTGAACACTGGACATTCTAGAACATAACTAACACCACTAAGGTGTTAACACCATGAGAGACTATGTTGTCTCTTGCCACTAGAGGGAAGCACTAGATCGCAAAGCTGTTGACAGGTCATGATAGGAACCACAAATGATCTTTTTATGTGTCCACAGATTTTGAACCATCAGTTGGTAATCAATGCACCTCACTACTATAACACGTTACTGGGCCATCAGCTTCTCCGCACACTGAGAGCCCCACAGGGCAGCCAGGGTGAGAGTCATCCAGTGGAAGCAGCACAGCTCATGGTGGACTGAGCCAATCACACAGGGATTGAGGCTGTGTAGGGAGCTAACTGGCCAGATGAGCTGGTGAATTGTGCACCGTCTCCCAGGGGAGTCCGGGGGACAACTCTCCAACGACACCTCAGGACATGAGGGCAAGCTGAGCTGCAGGCACAGAACTTTGCCAGTGTAGTGACTTGAGAGTCCCGCTGCCTGCCGGGAGACCAGTTTCACTGCTTAAATATCACAGCCTAAAGAGCAATCTCAGGACCACACCTTCACCGGTGCAAATGTGTTGACCACACGTTACTATCATTAATATCACTGGCTCTTTACGGATCTGTTCCCCAGCGCTATTAAAAACACTCTGCGATCTTTTCACCGAAAAGCTTGTAACGATTTCTGCTGTTTTTTCTCCACCTGAGAAATATGTAGACAGAACTCTACAGTGAGAAGCAGAGTCTCACTGGCTGCTCGGTAATTTCAGAAAATAATCTGTTTAAAAAGGAAAGGGGAAAACCGCAGCAGTAATTCCACAACAACACCAGGAGAGAACATGCAGACTCCGGGCAGAACGTGTCCTGGTCCACAACAGAACCCAGGAGCCAAGAGCTGTGAGGCAGAGACAGTAAGCTGCACGCCATCTTGCTGCACAGGAGAAAATGAAGTGGGAACTGAATTCAGAACTCCAAGCAGTTTGCGGGGCTGTACAAAGTCGTGGGTGACTGCTCATTGTGCGTCTCCAGGGAGGGGGAGGAGGAGAAGGCAGCTGCTCGTACGTGCACTTCCATGGAGCACCACTCGCTGTGCAGGTAGTGTGGCGTCACCACGCACAGCATCTTGCAGCTGGTGTAGACCGCCTCCACGATGCTGCTCACAATGGTCTTGCCCACCTGGAAGCCGCGGTGATGGAGGCACAGTTGGTGGCCCCTCCCCCCCGGCGCCTCCACCCCCTTCCAGATTGGGCACCAGCTGGTTAAACACCCAGTCCTCATCCTGGGAGCTGTAGGACACAAAGGCATCGTACCTGGGCGAGGTGGGCAGAGAGGAAGAATTGAGAGGTTAGAGAGAAGGGAAGAGGGAAAGATAGAAGGAGGGAGAGGAAATAGGAGAGAGAAAGGCAGGGGAGGAGGGAGGGCGAGACACAGATGGCAATAGCAGTTTACAGTGTCTGAATTGTTCCCTCTTTGTTTGTCATTGGAGATCGGACAAATCGCACTTTCCCATATGGGGGAAAAAAGAGCTGTGCTGCAAGTGTTGGTAAAACAGTGAAACCAATACACTGGGCATCAGCACTCAGATCAGGAGCGCGTCTGCTGTGGTCTGTGTGCACTGTGTATCTGCCTCACTGTGGGACTCACTGCAATGCTTTTGCTCTGTGTCTTATACTGTGCCAGAACTCTGCTTCCTTTTGCACTATGGGTTATCTTCATATGACTTGGGTAGTTGAATAATAATCCACATTTTACAAGCCCCTTTCTTGTTAAACAGGATTGTGTAAGGCATGCTCAGAGAAACAAAATATAAAAGAAGAGATGATCAAACAACATACATATTTAAGCTTAATATTTAGAAAATACTCTTTTCAACAAGCAAGCTTTAGTGTGAGATGTAAAAGCATTTATGGAGAATCTCAAATTCTTCCTGCAGCCAAGACATATAAGCTTCAGAAGGAAAAGGCTGTGATTTTCAAGGAAGTCTCCTATTTTGTCCTAGCATAAGTACATTTAAATACAGCAATTATAATTGGCTAATTTTGGTAAAATGATAGGCATCAGTCTCAGAAAACTAGGCATGTCACTGTCTCTGAGCGGCTGTTCATTCTGTAAAAATATTTTTTCAAACATTGATTCCTTATACTTTATACTTTATAGGGCACTTAAAGCTCTTGTTAAAATTTTAATAATTAAATTCATAGAAGGTAAAATCATTCAATCACCTTGATCCTAATTCAAGCCATTTTCCTTTTAACTAATCAATTTTGATTAACATAAAAACCCTAGAGGCGCATGCTTTAAGTCACAAATTAATTTACAAAAGCAACCGATGTTCAATATAGATGGTCAAATCCTGTACTTTAGAAGTTGCAGGTGGTCATAATACAAAAGTCGAGAGAGATGCAAGAACAAACTGCGAGAATCATGAAAGATGGTCCCGAAAGACAGAGTATGGGTCACAGCTAGGGCTGTAAATACACAGGTTCAAAAACAGGCTATTGGCTAAATACCTGTTTGTTGAAATTGTGTTTCAATTCCAACCCCATAGGCCAGACACATTCATAAAGATGGCACATTAAGGCAGTAATTCTCCAAGTGTGGACACAGAGGTCACCCAGGCAGAGATGTAGTTCTACTTTCATTGAGGTGATCACAGAATGACCTATTCAGATGGCCACTTACTTGTAAGTTTTAGGTCCTGACCTCCGGAGTTGGGTCTCCTTAATCCGGGCTCTTAGCAGGTAATAGCCATACAGGAAGTGCCACCTGCCTTTACTGTAACCAAGGCCACACACTAGCACAGCCAGAACTAGGGTGGCGCTCGAGCAAAATGCCAGGAGATCGGTCTGGGCTGCGCGCACAGCAGGCTCATTCTGGGAGAGGTAGCGGGTGCTGTTGGGTGCCGGGCAGGAACATTTGATGCTGTGAAACAGGGTGACGTGCGTGAGTGAGTGCAGGGCCCACAGTCGGAAGGCCTCGTTTTCACAGATGCAGGCCAGGGGGTTGAAACGGATGTCGAGGGATCGGAGGCTGGGCAAGAGGAGGTCAAGTTCTCCCGGGACAACCTGGATCATGTTGTTGGCGAGCACCAGCCCCTGAAGCGTGGACACTCTGAAGAGATTTCGGTCAGCCCAAAGTTCTCCAAGATTGCTCAGATGGGAGAAGGGCAGTGTGTCCAGGTTGCTGAGCTTGTTAGAGGAGAGGTGGAGCTCCCGGAGGGATCTCGGATTCAAGAAGAGATTGCTGGGCAAGATACCGATGCCATGTGGCAACTGATTACAGCCTTGACCTATTTTTTTATTGTGAAATTGCCAATGAGTTTCTGTCTTATACCCTTATAATTGTGGATCACCTACTGTATCTGGGGCTAATTGGTTTGGCTAACCTCTGAGTCTGCATGGGGGGAACAAGGGGCTGTGAGCTCACTCCTCCACCACACACACCAGTTAGAGCCAATTACTCTTCGACGTGGTCTGTGCTTTGCAGAAGGACCGGCTGGTCTTTCACTAATGTCACCGCGAGTTCACGGCCAGTGAGCAGGTCACAGGAGTATCCCATACACCATCTCAGCTGTGGGCCACCTGTACTGCTAGACGCACTCAGACCCTACACACTTAATTGCTGAAGTGGACTAAAAGTTTGCTTGATACCATATTTTAGCACTGCTCTGCAGGCCAGTCCAGCTGACCAATAAGCTTCAGCGAGAGCTCGGGTTGCAGCAAAAACTGAAAACCCCAGGGCCCCAAAGCAAAATATGGAATTGCTGCTGGTTTCATCAGACTGCACTAACGTTTCATTATTATTACAAATATAATACACAGTGTGGCCATGACAAATAAGTGCAGCTACAAAACAGCTACCATAAGAAACCAGCGATGGTATTTCATATTGTGTTTAAATCATTTAAATCCTCTTAATAAAAGGCAGTTAATGTGCCTTTAAGTTGACCTTTTCTTAATCCCTCACATATCCAGCCAATAAACTGTTGCAGCTTATGAACTTTAAGTATAGATTTCTGATTTTTTTTTTCAAAACTATTGCTGAAATCAATGCATGCAATGAAACGACAGAAAAGGTGATGAAACTTGTTTTGCCCTTAATGACATACAATTATTTGTAGAGCAAAATCCAATATTCAGTATAATAATGCACTTAACAGTATCTGGAATGAATGTAACGCCAGGAGCAGTGTACATCAACTATCAGCACAATTTATGTTCTGTAATGAAAACGTGCCTTTTTGTTTAACAACTGTAATTCCGCAATTTGTCTTTGTTTGCTAGTAAATCGTACATGACTTAATCGCCACCTCTGCCATTGCTTTTGCACCTTGAAGTGTCTGACCCAGTCCAGGCGCGTGGCCTCACTGACTCCTGCTGCTGCAGCAGTATTAATGGCCGGTGGGACATGATCAAAGTAGACAGCGGTCCTGCGTTCTGTCTGTTCCAAATTTCGCCAGCTTCCTCTTGCTTGATCAAGACCAGGAAACCACAAAGACACAAAAGGAAGCGGGGTATGAAAGAACCTGTTACACATAGATTAGGTAACATAACATGTGTTAACCATTTGTTCTCCAACTTTGCAAAATATAGTTTGGAATATTGAGACTAGGTGTTTCGATGGAGGGATTAAGAACTACATTGGTAATCTGTTAATAAGACCCTCATCATAAGGAAGAGGAGTGGAGGTTCACGGGTTAAGCTGTGAATAATCTGGGCATTGTAATTTTTTAGGGGAAGGAGGAAGTCAGCCTTGAACCATAAGCGACATCTGAGTCATGCTGTGTACGGAAAAGAAGTAAGAATCCACACTTGTAGATGTTTTTAGTTTAGACTCCAGAACGAACAGGACGACATTCTGATTCTGGATCTTTTAAGCACAGGACAATTGAAGGCGTCACGCATGCATGCTGCTGAACACTGCACGCATGCCTTGTTTCCCCACTGCGGGCTGCACAGTACCTACAGCCGGCACAGCACTGGCCCAGAGCTGGCCCGAGGACTCATCCAGCTCTCACTAAGTACTCCCAGCTCTGACACAGGGAGTCGCTGTTGCACAGCAGGCCAGAGGTGATCTGACCCTGGTGGTGCTAGGCCACCTGTCCACCTCTGCTCTGTCAGTCTCAGTCAGTGTAGGCTAATCACATAGGCCAGACTCGGACGCGAGATGTCAGGACTATAGGAGATGTCCTATAACATCTGGTCTTTTACCGGGGCAAGACTTTGATATAAACATCATGAAATACAATATTGCTTTTTCAAGCCATCTCGGAGAGTGGTTTTGAACAGACAAATATCAGATAAAAAAGATCTCCAATAACCATACACAGGAGTGCTTACAGAAACTTCAGAGGAGGTCTGTGAGGCAGCCCTGCAACATGAGCATCTGTACAGTAAATTATATATACAGTATTAGTGTCAGGTGATGTGCTGACATGTGTAGAATAAACAACTGGAAAGTAAGAAGCTAGATCAGGATGTATTATGGTTTATGACTACACCTTTAAGGCTGCTCATAGGCAATAAACAGGTTCCTTCTCTCTGGGGCCGCACGGAAGTCCACTAGGTCCTGGTTCTGAGAGAGCCGGGTCTGGAGCTGACGGATCAGAGCCTCCATCCTCTCACCGAGTTTGCTCTTTCCTGTGTCACAGACAGGTTCATCTGTAGTGTTCTCTTAGAGTCTGGGCCCTCTTCTGCACATATTAAATTGGCAGCCCCCTGTGCCGAAGAAGGCCAACAGTACAATTCACACTAGGAGCACGCTTTCACAGTAAACTATGAGCAAACTCTTTGCTACACCCCTCGACTGCCTGGTTGTGTGTCGCTCTGTGTATCCCACTGATTAAGCATAACGACAGCCAGTTTCTCCTGGTAGTTGGGAAAGAAAAGTCTCAACAGGTAAGGGAAATGCATAGTAGAAAGAGAAATGCACTGCTCATGGAGTGCCTCATGGTGGTCTACTGTACGTCAGTCTGAGTTCTGTAATGCCAAAGAAAAGTTTTATGATCCTGACTGGGAGAAAGTGGCAAATTGAAGGATGGATCTGTAAAAGGGTGAAAAGAAGCAGTGCTCTAGATGTCTGTATTGCCCACAATCCCCAGAAGGAAACGGCCAGTTTGAACCTTGAGCCATTTGCAAGTTCTCGTGCGGAGATGAGACAGTGGGGGTGTGTACTGACCTGGGCACGCAGGCAGACAACCAGCTGAGGAGTCACATAACGACACAGGGACTCCACACGCTGAGAGAAAGAGAAACAAGCAAAGACTGTAACTGCCTTTCATTGTTAACATCCAGATAAGTGCATAAAACATATAAGGTCTATGTCCATTGCACTTCTTTTCAAGATACCATCTTACTGTCTGAGCAGCAGGGCTGTATCTTAAAGTGAGAGCTCTGACTCACATCCTTCACACTGTTATCTCCAAACCGGGATGCAATGAAAGCAGACTTGTTTCTCCAGCAGCAGTGTGAGCTATAGGACAGACACCAGCCTCCTGAACGCACCTCTGCTGCATCGAAGGCCGGCTGACAACACCCTGATGGGTTTAATACTTGAATTTCAGGTTGTGGACGCAGTAAGAGCATCACATTACGTAGGCATTTAAAGCAGCCCACCTTAATCTGTGGTTTTAAAATGCTGCTAATTGATCTTGTGTCCAAAAAAAGGAAATTCCAGCATCTTCCAGACTCTTTTTTTATGTGGAGAGTTGAGATTATCATCGGAGTTATCACAACAAATCATCCAAGATCCATCAGTCTTAGAGATGTCAGTCCACTGGAGGTGTGTCCCCTAAGACCTATACGATATATTCAGAAAGCATGAGCTGTGTTTAGAGCTCTGGACTTGTAAAAGGAAGGATGCAGGTTCACACCCTGTGAGGGGCAGTGCTGTTGTACCCTTGAGCAAGGTACAGTACTTGCCTCAGTAAAATAGTCAGTAAAAACGTCAATGGGTAAAAGGTTCAGCCTGATGAACAATACGCTCTCCAAAAGGGGCTTTGTGATGACAGGCATATTACACTTTAAAATAAAGTAACACTACTGCACCTTTCTGAGCGGTGGTGATGAACCCCGGCTTACAGTCGCACTGAACAGGCTCGGTGAACACCGAGCACTGCGCCCCACTGTAGCCCGCAGAGCACTCTGGAAACGAAGAACACAGCCTGAAATATTAACCAGGTCAGGAGACGGAGGGAATGAGAATGAGAACGCACGGCGAGGGAGAGCTGCAGGGGAAAACGAGAGAGAGGAGCGGAGAGGCAGAGAGCGAAGACGAAGGCAAGGCGGAGAACACATTGCACGTGACAAAATGACAGATTAAGCCCTGCTGAAAGGTGGCAGGGCTAGCTGGAAATCTCATTGAACTGCCATTCGCACTCAATTACCATTTGCCACTCTTTGTAAATCACTCTGGTGAGAAGGAGGCAGGAAATGGTTTTGTCCAGGTGCAGCAGAGGGAAGCAACGGTTTGCACTGGGGCTCTGGACTACAGTTCCTGGGGTGCTGTCTGCATGTATGCTCTCCCAGTGTTGGCGTGGCTTTCCTCCGGGGGCCCAAGGTTCCTCACGCTGTCCAGAGATATGCTGGCGGGTTAACTGGCTTCTGGGAAAACTGGTCCCGGTGTGAGTGTGTGAGTGTCTGTGTGTTTGCCCTGCCACGGACTGGCATCCCATCCAGGGTACACCCATTGCTTGCCAGGACAGGCTCCGGCTCCCTTCTGACCCTGTATTGGTCAGGAAAGGGATGGATACATTGTGTTCGGATCCAGTGTCAGAGGGATGGGAGGGGGTGTACTCACTGTACTCTCCACTTGCCTGTTCTGAAGTAGACGGTGGTGCTGGGGTTGTGTACGGTCCTGACACTAGGGGGCAGCAGATAGTAGCGCGAGTCCTGCAGCAGGATGGCAGCGCAGGCCTGCCTGTCCCCCAGACACCGTTCTTCGGCCTGGGCCAGCTCTTCCGTGTTCACAAAGGCATCTACAACAGCACCCTCTAACCCTTGGCCGGACACTTCTTCAAACCACTCTGCAGCTAGAAAACAAGAACCAACCAAAAACTGGGCAGAAGATTTAAAACAGGGATAGAGAGTGCTTTCTCATGGCAGCATAATACTCTTACACAGCCGCTGTGGCCGAGTTACAAAATCCAAATAAGCATGTGGAGGATACAAAGAAGTGTAATGGTGATAGGCATAGGGATGCAACTATATGGAAATCCCAATTTCATTAGTGTTGCAATCCACAGGACTGTGACTCTGTGGAGTCATGGTATGGCCACTGTCGTGTGTTCTTTTTCCTTTCTGTCAGTCTAACATCAATCTTGTTAATCCTGACACCCATCCTGCTAGTGCGGACAGAGGGAGGGAGACTTCTGTTGTGCACAGCAGAGCTTTACAGAGCTGAAGCCCAGTTCTGTTTTTTGTCTTTGGCCTTCTCCTGGGACAAGCTACTTTCACTGAAGGGAATTTCAGACGAGTAACGTCGGAAGACCAAAAGAAGGATTTTTGTGGTTGTTTCTTAATTTCAATTTAAAAACAATTATGCTCACTCTTCACTCTGCAAAGTGCTTTAGGGTGATGCGAGAAGGTCCTTCTGCTTTTCCATTTGGATTGTTTTATATCTATATCTTGATGTCTCTCTAGTGTGTGATTATTGTTGGTACTGTATAATGCTTATTTAAATGTACTGAGTTACTTCTTTGTTGTTTAGTAGTATGGTATCATATTTTTATTAGTGAGGAGATCAGTTTGCACTGATTAAAATTATTTTTTTTACAACGGTATCTAAGGACTCTTTGGCATTTGCTTTCAGTTAGGATTTAGAGCCTTTTGAACCTCAAGAGTTATACTTAAAATAGACACCCTCAATGTCTGTAGAGTGCAATTAAGTTACGTTCTCCTTGACTCCCACGCACTGGGTCCACGTCTCCTTCGGGTGATCTACTGAAGCAAAGGAGAACTCCTCTAGGCCCCATCTAGGCTGGGCCTCAGCAGGTGTCTTCAGCCTCTCGTCACACAAAACCTTTCTGCCACAAAGTTGAGCCTGGATATTTCAACACTGCTCACTCTGGTCACAGAGAGGCAGGGCAGGTGGAGTCATGCAGTAGTAGTGAAATAACGGTCTGCCTTTGCACATGTCTTGTGTAGAACATGCTCAGCCAGTGTTTATTTTTGGTTTGTTTGCTCTGGGCTCCTTGCTTACACACAGCCTGCTGATCTTTAAATCTGCACCAGGCTGGGGGTGAAAACTGAGCCTCAGTTTGGTCTCCTGGTGTTGGTCAGACGTATTATTCTTAAGGGGGTTTTTCTGTGCATCATAACTGCTAAGATTTGCTTATTTGATTTAGAAACTCACTACAGCCTGAATATATGATATCATGCATTATGTAACAGATACTGTAAATAGAACTTTAAAAGAAAAAGTAACAGCAAATTAATTCTAAAATGTAATGCTACAATAATTACTAATACTCAATTTTGTAAGATTATTTGACATTCATACAAGACTGCGTTGTAATTCCTTACGAAAGGCTTGTTGCTGAATTTACATGGCCATCGCCTTCATTCCAGAGACAGCTTTGAAACCTAGTCCTGTCCAAGGTGCTCCAGGGAATACCGAACCGGATGGCTCTTTGTACACAGATCAACACTCACACTCATTGCGTTTGCAGATGTAGGGCCTGTGCAGCCTGCAGTCCGTGTCTGTCAAGATGCCCGTCAGCGTGTCCAGACTCACGCAGTCCCTGGGCCCCCCAGACACCCTGTCTTCATGGAAATCTCTGACCAGAGAGAGAAAGAGACACAGTTGTCTGGAGAAACTGAGAAAAGGTATTTTTTTTCTTTTCTCTAGGAATATGTTTTGTGTTATTTTGGATTATTTAAGACAAATGAATCCAGAGAAAAAAAATAAGGAGACACCAAAATCAAAGTCCATGCAACTTCTACGACTGAAGACTAACATGTGAATTCTGTGACTCAAATTTCCATTCTTTTACAATGTATTTTTATGAGACAATGCGTCTAAAAATGTGCTCACTGGATTATGTAGCAAATCAATAAATCATAAAGGAGTCCTGTAAAGTTTACTGGAATCTTTAGGATATGGCATAAAGTTCAGACTTAGCAGCCAGAAAATGTCGACATTACTGGTTTTGCACCTATGCAATTCTATACAGTATGTAAAATAAGTACTGATGAGTTGATCAATTAGCAGCTCACGCAGCCAGTGATGGGTGGAGGGAGTTTCCAGCAGTCCAGAAGAACCGTGACTCGGTCTCAATGTCGTTCAGTCCGGTCCAGAAAGAGTCACTGACCTTTGACCCCAGCCAGGCCTAAGAGACGGACAGTAGGAAAACGCAGAGGGTGGCAGGACAAGGCCCGAGACTCCAGAGCCTGCCTGCAGCTACTGACAATCCGTGTGAGGCATTCTCACGCACTTCAGGACTGGGATCTCCCTTACTTCTGCTCACGTCTTTATATACTGAACACCGAGAATAGAACCCGAAAAAATGAACTATGGCATTGTCAAGTGTTTGAAGACAAAGAATGATTAACCAACAAGCACGGTTCAGATTGAAAAAGGCCAGAAGTAATGCCAGCCCTCCAGTTTGGCAATCTGGGTTAATATTAATATGTTACATTAATATGAACAATTACAGACAAATAACGCCTACAGTATCTAGTCTCATTTGGAAGAGAAAAAAAACTTCATGTTAGAATTGTAACCCCACAAAACATTCTGTGGTTAGGCACCCTGCCCACCTTTCACACAAGCACTCATTTTTAGTTATTTTATCCTTCACTAAAATGATTCGTCACTAATTACGGGAAATAATAATCTCAGAAATGCCTACTACAATTCATCTCAAGACCACGCTAAAGCAGAGAAACTTTATACCAGTAGGCCAGCTCTGTACTGTGGCTGAGAGTAGACATAACTAACCTAAGCACTGAAGGAGTTGTACCAAAATGTCAGGAGCACAGACTTTAAAACTGCATCGACCATGTGAATAATATTCACCCTGATTCAGTGTGACATCTAGGAACGATCACAACGGTCAAACTACTGCACCAACGGCACAGACGTCTCAGATTACAGCCCTCTGGCTGGGAGAGGCTGGAGTACCTTCTCCTCTGTGCTGTTCAGATAGAGGAGGTCAGCTCCCCTGTAGGCCCTGCACATGTCCAGGGCTCCTGTCCAAGGCAGGGGAGTACTGGTCTGCAGGAGATAACAGCTCCCATGCCAGGGGTCCCACCCCTCAGGACAGTGGTAGCCTGAAATGCAAAGCTAGGGTTAGGGAGGGTTAGCATTCTGGACACGCTGGGCTGGGTGAGGTGACAGGGGTTGAGGTTAGGTGGGCGGGTTACATGTGGGAGGATGAGGCCAGTACAGGTTCAAGGAAGGGGTGAGAGCTGAACACAGGACCTGTTACCCCCCCAAAGAGGGAAGAAGACCCCGAGTTCACCTGTGTTGGGCATCTCGCACACGTATCCCTGGAGGGCATCACACGCCTCCTTCTTCCAGACCAACCCTGCTCTCTGCTCCATCACCACACAGTAGTGCTGCTCATCCACGTCTGTGAAGAAACTGGACAGGACACCACTCTTGGGCGATTTCTGCCAAAAGATACAGCCTACAACCACAAAGCTTTGCTATACTAAAAAGAGCAGTTCTGATGTGGGCATAATGCTTAATACGAGACACTGAACCCCAAAGATTTCAGGTCCAGACTAAATCAAAATCTCCACCTCTCCAACAAAATAACACACCTTACAAAGGTTTACACATTTGGATGGGTTGAGGCTTAGTTACAGGTGTATCATGCATGCTGTTTCTTACAATAAGCACAATAACCTTCATATCACCGCTGATGAGTTTTAGGTCATAGTGAATAAATTTGAATGTCATTACCACCCATTCATCCATTTTCTAACTGCTTCATCCAATACAATGTCATGGGGAAGGCAGAGCCCATCCCAGAAAGCAACAGGCACAGGGCACAGGGCAGGGTACACCCTGTTCAGAACACTAGTCCAGCGTGAGGTGGACAGACACACCCACGCACACACTCACACCAGGGCCAGTCTTCCCAGAAGCCAATTAACCTCCCTTTGGAATTATCAAAGGGAAGAAGAAGAAAAAAACAAACGAACTGCCCTCAGTTTGCAAATTCGCTCTCACGGACTCCCTACCTGGGCTCATCCTCTGCAAACTGGGAGCCATCAACCCAGACAAGCTGGGGATCTCCAGAGGGAGAAAACAGTCCAATCCAATAGGAGCAGTCGGAGCAGTAGACTCGGGTACTGAGAAACTCCTGGGGAAAAGAATCAAGGACAGGTTTTCAATGGGGAGAACTCAGGGTCAGCCCAGTTTACTTGCAATGCATACAGTCACTGCTTTCACAGTCTCATTACCGAACTGGTCTGCCACCAGCATCAACAAAAGGTTTTCCCAAATGAACAGCCTTCTCCTGGTTTCTGCTCACTGCCAGCAATTAGCCAGAGCTTCAGATGAATTTAAAGGCTAGCATTAAACTAGACCAGTGAAGAAAACAGCAGGTTGTCACCTTGAAGGTAATGCAGCAGGAAGATGTCAGATACACCCACAGCTAATTCCGCAGTTTAAAAGAGTAACCAGTTTTCAACTGTATTAGTCTTCAACCCTTAGATTCGGAATGAAACTGAATAGCACAGCGGTGTTATGTAATGGGGTGGCAATATGAAAAGAGACAACTCTGTGAAGGCACAGGGAAGAGCTTTAAGGTACATATTTGGGAAGAGCTGTCAACAGCTATAGCAGGAAGACCCTGTGCATCAGGTCCTGAGTTTTTCAGTGTCACACTGTATTGGATCCTGAAGTGTTAGTGGATGCTCCATGTGTTGTACAAATATTGTTTAGCCCCACTCATTTCAGTAACTGTATACTGCGATTGGACATTTTGCATTGAATGGTGTTCTCAATGACCAGGGTATCAGGTTCAACAATAGTAACAGTCAGGAATTCCTAATAAATTCTAGCGTCATTTGTTATAATACCTCTATATTAAATGCAAAATGTAATAGTTTGATCAGTGTCGTCAATTTCTTCCAAACTTTTATGTTTAGGGTAACTGAGACAAAATTCCCCTTCAGGGTAATGCAGTGTATACAGTATGTCCATATACGGAAGGAAAAAAATGTTCAGATAACATTGATACATCACTATTCCTAAATATCATTTTTGTCCTAAAACACAGCGATACCATCCAAAACTGTCTACCTTTTGTGGAAGTCCTAACCCTAACCCTAGCTAAGGATTTGGGTTAGGGTTAGGATTCAGGCTTGCTTCAGGGTTTCCACAATCTTCCACTCATTTAAGTGGAAAATATGATTCACTCAATAAAAATATCAGTCTAAAGGGACCGAGAATCCAAGCCAAACTGAAGAGAACATATCAGCAATGAAGGCATTTTGTTTTTGGGCAAGTATACTGTGATTGGAACTTTTGCATTGAATGGTGTTCTCAATGAGCATGGTATCAAGTTCAACAATGGTAACAGTCAGGAATTCCTAATAAATGCTGGCTTTATTTGTTAAAATACCTGTACATTCAATGCAAAAATGAAAGAGTTTGATCAGTGTCGTCAATTTCTTCCAAACTTTTGCTTTTAGGGCAATTGAGACAACATTCCCCTTCAGGGTAATGCAGTGTACGCTGTATGACTGGAATATGTGCTCTCAGTCGCTCCCTAGTGGCAACCCCTACGTGCCCTGCCCCTCCACTCCTTGCCCTGCTATGAATTATATTCATAAACCATGAAGGCCCTATGGTAAGATGAGGGGGCGAGCCTGAGACTGTCTTGTCTCTAAAAGTCTTACAAGACATTGCTTATGAAGAGCACTTCTATTTCTGCATTATACATCCTGCCTTGGATGACTGAGCTGTCTCTCCAGTTGTCACTCCATAAGAGGTACTCATCACTTAATGCAACTAATTATTGCTGTAATGCGACCAATTTAATAATTTTTTTTCCTGTTCTTAAAGTTATTGCTGATTTCAATTAGCGGTCTCCAAACCTAGTCTTAGAGAGCCCCAATTCAGTTCATCTTAGAGGTCACCCTAAATCAGTGGTCTCCAAAAATGGTCTTGAAGAGCCCCAATCCAGTTACTCTTAGAGGTCAACCTAAATCAGGGGTCTCACTCCCTGGCCCTGGAGAGCCCCAATCCAGTTGATCTTAGATGTCACCCTGAATCAGGTGTCTCCAACCCAGGTCCTGAAAGAGCTCCAGTCCAGTTATCCTTGTAGGTCACCTGCTCATCAGTACAACATTGATGAATCAAGCAAAACATCAGTGTCTCACAAGAACTCTTGTCTTTTGGGGCTGGTGGGTTTACCTGGGTTTGATCCCAAATAATCTCAAAATGACTACCTTCACATATCACTTGTTGAGTGTTCGACTAGTGATTTCCAGTCATTAGAAAGTGGTATTTTAAGAGAAAACTACAATACCTGCTTGAAAGGGAATCTCTAAAAAGACCAACAGAACCTGCTTGATTTCCAACCAGGGCTGTAGCTGATTCTAAAAGGTGTGACTGCACCCCTCGGAGGAACAGAGCGGTCTGGCACATCACCGGCCTGGCCGACTCACAGAATGGAGGGGCAGACGTACGTGTTTGTCTCGGTCTCTAATGACCACCAGGTCAGCTCCAGCAGCCCGACAGGCAGATCTGCTCTCAAACATGGTGGAGGGGTCAGGAGAGATCAGGAAGCAGCCCGAGTCCTTGTAGTACAGCCAGCCTGGGGGACAGTGAGCTGGAACTGTGAACACACAACAGCAAGACACAATGGGTACCACAGGCCTCCAGAGGTCAGAAACACAGTAGGAGTGGATGTCTCTGTCTGTGTGCCTCTGTCTGTGTGTCTGTGTGTCTGTGTCTGTGTGTCTGTGTGTGTGTGTGTGTGTGTGTGTGTATTCCAGACAGAACATCCGTGAGAGGAGCTGGTGTCCAGGCATGATGACAATAGTATGTGCGCAAGGTGACCTGAAAAGGATGTTGAGGATAAGTTTTAAAAATGTTCGAAGGTTCAAAGCTAAGATCTTTTTTCAAATCATCTATAATTGTTTCGGGATCGGTGATCACCGCTCATAGTCCTTAGGAGCTACAAAACCTTTACTTAATTCATTAAATTACGGATCGACTTCACTGGTACAAATGAGCACTGTATTCCAGGTATTTTTCCCCCCATCACATTCCAGTCTTTATCTACAGCCTCTGCAATTCCTGTCTCTCTCCAGGACCAGCAGTGCTAACCGCTGAGGCCTTAGACAACAGAGCCAAAAAAAGATTAATAATAATAATAATAATAATAATCAATGAATTAATTACAATCCAAGACCTTCAGTGATGCCGCCCCTTCACATTACGGTGTCGGATCCCCGGCGGGTTCAAATCGCGAATTCATTGAGTCTGTGGCTCCCTCTACAGGCGAATAGTAGAAAAAAAAAAACTCCCTTTTTTATTACCAATCATAAACCCACAAATGGTTATTATTGTGGTGTTTCCCCCCCTGGCAAATTATTTCTGAAAACAGTATTTAAGAGCTTAATTCGTCACTTACTGGGCGATAATCCGACAGACACTAGCAGAACGACCCGGAGGGCCAGTTTCACACAGTCACCCGCCATCGCTTCCGGCTGAACCGAAACCGACAGGTTTCTGTGAAATGAAGCGGACGGAGCCCGTAGGGACCGGCTCTGTTTTCGGGGCGCTTGTCCCCCCTCTAACCGTCGGGACAGGTTTCAAAACGCCGCAGCGCCTCGCGGCGAACGGGCGCGCCCCGGAAAATACGCACATGAGCGTGCGGGACCTCCTGCCGCAGAGCTGTAGTTAATTGAACCCCCCGTCAATTAGGAAATAATTAACTCTAAAAGATAGAGACACCCCTATAGACGGGGCGCTGTTATCTTCCCGGCAGTGTCGCTCACTGCTCCATCTTTAATGTTTTATTTTATTTAAAGCTTTACTGAACCAGACACAGTGAGTCAACTGGGAACAATTTAGCGCATGCAAAGACCTGGGAGAGTATCTCTCAATGCAGCCTCCCGGGCGCGATTTGAACCCGAGTAACTGCCTTGTCAAAAACGCGTGCGTGCCCTTTGATGGTCTAATTACAGGCTCATCACGCTGCATTTCCGTGGCTTTGCTATACAGTACCACTGCTGCACATGCAGTATTGCAGTGCAGTAACTGTTGCGTTACCAGTCGGTACAAAGTGTGGCGCTTCTACAGTATGTAAAGTAAAGCACCTGGAATAAAGATATCTGCTAAACCGACCGACTTCGGCTTGCGTAGTCCTGCCCTCTTACAGGAGCTTGAGCCAGGATTGGGGTTTTCCGTGGGTGCCGCTTGCAGGTTATCCTCGCGTTCACGCGAGTTTTCAGCCCCACGGAGCCCACTCCGACTGGCGCGTTTTGACTCTGCATCCATCGCCTATGGATGAGGAGTAGGTACATACTGTGTGCATATCGAGATCACCAAATGCGGGAATCTTGAGCATTTTCATTAAATATAGTTTAATCAATAACATTTTAGTGGTACTGTATAGCTATAAAATACTCGCACCTAAAAATGCATCCAGCTCCAGTTCCCTCGGGTAAGTCGTATAAAATTGAGTAAAGGAACAAGCAATAGGTTTATTCCATGCTGAAAAAAAGAAAAAGAACACAACGTTTCGGCAGTGGAGCCTTCTTCAGGTGTGAGAAGGCTCCACGGCCGAAACGTTGTGTTCTCTTTCTTTTGTTCAGCATGGAATAAACCTATTACTTGTTCCTTTGCAGCCTACGCATGCCAAAAGTTAAAATTGAGTAAAGCTCGACATTTCTTCTGGTTTCCCCCCAAAAGTCACGTCAAAAAAGTCAAAGCAGCCATTGTTCGGAAAGAGACAACAAGCCTTTGCCAAGAGTCCGATGAGACTTTTATTAGTGTACTTTATTAATAAACTGTAGGTTATATTCTACAGATTACATCTCATCGCACCGCAAAGGAGATTAAAACAAGTTCATTTCATCCGATTTGTGCACTGTCTTTCGCGCCGTGAAGAAATGCAACTACTGATCATTGGAGCGATATGAGGAGCCGGGTAATTGCATTAACTTCTTAACAATGTGAGCAGTCACCCTCCCTCGCTTGCGGCCTGTGATTTTCTCTGCGGGCAAGATCAGGGGGGATCCTGGTAGGTCCTCAAGGTGTGCCTAGTGATCTCCCAGGTGCAGGGCTTTGGCCCGGACCGGTGTGGACTGTGATCCCCCGGGTTCGGCTGGTGCCTGGATCGATGTAGACTGCGATCTACAGCCCCCCTGCTGTACAGCCTATACATGTGTGTGATGCACATATACAGATTGAGTAAATACTACAGACAATGCACCTGGTGAAAATGCAACACACCTGGGAGAAATAGGAGGTGGGCTTGTGTCAGTGTTGCTGGCTGAACGATGACAACCGACTTTTTCCTGCTGTATAGTTGATTGGTACGGCAATACAAAATAGCAGCGGATTAAAAAAAAATTAATAAGGTATGCTTCTAATACGGTGGATCTTTCTTTTAACCTATTTCACTAAGGAGGATTCCTCATTTAAACTAAAATCAAAACCCTATCAAAAGACTACAGTATAATCTTCAAGTTAACACTGTGTTTTAAAAAGTATTCAAAATATTTTAAAAGGCTCCTGTGATTCTTGAGGCTTCTTTAAGGTACGATCAAAGCCATGTCTGGTGACGAGAGTTTAGCTGCGGACTGACGCTCTGAGCTGGTCTGGGGATGAGATTGATGTTATAAATCAGCGGAACCGCTCTGGACGGTCTCTGTGGACACCCAAAGTCATCTCGGTACCAGCTTCCCCATGAAGAAATGTGTTAATTTGTGGATGTTGTGGTTGTTTTGTTATTTGCTTACACACACGAAAAGTGTTAGCTCTGATCAGAACGCAGATGGGATCACTTGGACTCGCGGAAAGCACCAGGGTGAGACACGCCCCCTTCCGCAGCCGTTGCCCGGGCAACAGGGCCGGCGCCTCAGGCCTGCAGCTCGGCGATGTCCCAGATGAACTGCAGGGGGAGCCCTTTCATCTTCTCCCGGTACACCTGGTCAAAGCGCTCGTTCTGCGCCACGGTGAAACTGTTCTTCCAGTCGCCGATGGTGCCTGTATTGCCAACAGGACAGAGAACAGAGATACCGGTTTAAGATCACACACAAGACACATACGTTTGGTATGTGGAAAACATGATTTCTGCATTGGCGACTAACAAGCCACCAGCTCAACAGAACAATATTCTCATGCAGTGTCATGTGGGCTGAAGATTTTAGGTCATTCATGTGCTGTGCGGCTACGGCTCTCATTGCAGCAGAGATCTTTACTAAATTTAATCCTTAATAAAACTAACAAGGCACCAGATTGTAAGCGTGACAAGTTGTTTTTTTTTCTACTCTAAAGCTGAAGATTTAAAGCTACCAATAAAACATAACCTCCAGCATGGTTAGGAACTGAAAGCGATTACATTCAAATGCACCCAGTTATTAGATCTGTTAGTGTTCAATTATGGATTGGAGAATTCGTCTGGAATAAAAACAGAGCTGCTGTGTCGGACCCCAGGACTAGAATTGGGAACCCCAGTTCAAGGCACAAGGCAGCACCGCCAGCCTGTATCATCACATGAGTCACTCAGGAGTTTTCATTTCTGCCTCAGCTCAAGTGCTGTGCAGCACTCATTCAGCTCTGTGCAAGACTCTTGAGCTACAGCTAACGTCACGACCTACTGGAGATACACCCCTCTGCTACCTCCCAGCTCTGTGAATGACATCCGTCTGCTACCCTGACCACGAGCTGGAATCATGAAAGAGCCTACTGTTTCTTCCGGGAGATCTCCCGGCATGTGAACAAAAGATCATCACAGTCCCAGGCACAGTATTTAAATGCTTCTAGCACCTTGGGGTGTGGTAGCTCAAGTGGGGAGCTGTGTCAGCACGCGCAGGCTGCAAAGGAACAAGTAAAGGTTTATTCCATGTTGAAAAGAGAAGAAAGGAAACACAGGGTGTCAAGACACCCGAAGAAGGCTCTGCAGCCGAAATGTTGTGTTGCTTTTCTTCTCTTTTCAGCAGGGAATAAACCTTTACTTGTTCCATGTGGTGAGGTGTAATACTGCATTTTTTGAGAGCCTGAATAAGAACATCCGGGCTATTCTCTTCTCGCTGACCTTTGCGCAGAAAACTCCCCTTGCTGTGGTCCATGACATCTTCTGGCAGGAACTCGTAGTTGGCTTTGGGGTCCTCCTTCATGTTTTTGAAGGTGGTCTTCTGCACGATCCTGTCAATGGCCGAGTCGTCCAGATTCTTCCCCAAGAACTCGCCGATCTTCACCACCGCAGAGCGCAGATCCTGAGGGGAACAGCACGCAGAGCAACACCGGCACAGATATTCAAGATCTGGCACAGCTAGACCAGTCTGAATCTTCAGGGTAATAGCCTCCAGGCATTCAAGAGAGAGGAAGTTGTATTTTTTTTGCCGTTGTCTTGAAACAGAAATAAATAAATGTCTTTGAAGCATTGATTTAGAGCCTTTGATCTTTGCCAATGTGACATTATCACTTAACTGCCAGCAGGCAGCGTGAAAAGTCTCATATGCAATCACAGCTAAAACAAATCACATCATCTTGCATATTGTGCATGTCCATTGTTTTCCTTTGCTTGCTGTTTCCCTGTTTAAGACGTAGGCTCATCTCCAGTTCATGAATACATCATCCTACTTTGCAAATACAAATGGCAGGGAAAAGGTGTGATTCGGATCTGCTGGTTATGTCAGTTAGCCCAGTAGAGGAAATCCTACCAACATCAGCTGGTAAACAGATGTGTAAGCCAGTGTACCCACTCACACACTGCTCCCTGTGGCATCTTTCCAGTCGAAGGACACCTGCAAAAGTGTCCTGTCTCGATGACTAGCGCACATCATCATAATCATGTACACACTGTAGTCTCATCACGTCTTGCTGAAGATTATGGCACTCACTAACTGTAAAGTCACTTTAAGACAACCGGGCAGTACTGTATTTATTTTCTGTCCTGGTCTTTAATATTAGGAATATTTCTGATGATTTGCACAGTGTATTAGGTACACCCATGGTATACGCCTGGTATAGGAGAGCTCTTTACCAGTATGAGCCATGTTCATTATCCGCAGACAGTTCTGGAACACATTCCCTGCAAACAAGGCGTAGCAGGTGACTGCAATCCCATCAGTTACCTTGATCATCTCCTCGTAGGTTAAGAAGAGGATGTTAAAGTCGTCTCTGTGATTGTACCACCCCTGGACGTGGTCGAACCAGGACCCACTGATGACTGAAAAAGATCCAACGCAGACCTCATGGTGACCTCATTGGGCAAGATGACTCATCACAAGAGGTTTGTGTTTGGAAGTAACTACCACATTGTCGAAACTGATCCATTTGAATCTTTCCCAAGCAGCTACAGTACCAAGCCCTCCAAAGAAGCAAAACTTCATGATCTAGGGCAGAGCTGGGCAATCTGAGCATTAGAAGACATTAACCATAAGCACACCCTGAGTTCTAGTGATACCTGAAGCAGACCTACCTCTGCCGCCAAGAAACATATCCAGCATGTCATCAAAGTCCTTGGGTGTGGTGAGCTTGATCATGGTTTTGGAGAAATGATAGAAAGAGACGAGGACATCTTTGGGGTTCCGGGAGACATAAATGATCTGTAAATAACCACACAAAAGGGATCAAGCAACACAAAGGGATTTATAATAGTTTGACAAGAACTAGCAACATGAAGTCTTGTCAACCTGACTCTAACTGACTTCCATTGCCACTGGCTCAACGATTCCTTGCTTCTCCACCTGTTCTGCCAAGTAACTGCGCTGCTGTACCAGAACTACCAGAGGCTGAAATTAACGCAAGGTCTTCCGGTTTATGTTAATCAATAGTACCAGCAAATCAATGTATGAAGAGTTTGGCCTGAGCTTGAGTGCCAGTTAGTACACCACCAAGGAATGTGTTAAACTCGCATATTTCTAGTGCCCGATATATAGTAGGAACCTGAACTTTGGTTTAACCAGCAATAAAACTGCGTGTGACTTTATTTTTTTTCCCCAAGACCGATGGGCACAGGGAGAACAGAAAAGAATGCCGAGGCCTGTCTCTGTTAGCTGGTTCACTGCACAGGTAAATTATTTTTCTAATATACTCAGTTCACCTTTGTGGAGGTCACAACCTTAACCTTAGAAAGCTTATCTGTTCGCACACTGCAGTAAATCAGCTGATATTGGAAGTACAGCACTGGGTCACTTATCTATCCGATAGGGAACACCATTCAGGATTATGGCGGTCATATAATAGTGAATCAGTGGCTATGTATTGTGTCAAAGGGAACACTAATTAGCTTTCGCTGTTTTACAGCTCTCCAAGCAGAACCTCTTCAATAGAGTTCCGGTTCGGCTTTTGTGTTAATTAAGTCAGAAGCAGCAGCCATGGACTGGTTCATCCTTACTGGGGCTCAGCAGTGTGACAGGTAACCCTGACCAGTGAAGCCTGTCACAGAAGGGCAGGCTGTGGAATGACAAGGAGAGCAATAAAGACCCCATGCATAGCGAAAAAGGGGCAACACTGGGGTTAGCTCAGGCTCAGGGGGTCAGACGATGTCGGTAAGAAACCTATCCCTCAGGCCACAGACAGGAGCGACCTGGTGCTAGGTGGGTCTCAGGACATCCATACCCTCAATGCTGAGCCAGGAGCAGAGCAGACACAGGAACCAAATAGGCTACACAACAAGACACACTGGAAAGACAGGAATAATCCCAGGGAACTAGGAACAGGACAGAAGTCCAGGTGTACCGGGCGTGACAAATACAGAACGTATCCTATAAGAACTTCCATCAGAAATATGGAATTTGATAAAAGCGAGCCACAGAAGCATCAGTTTGCTACAGTGAGTGAGAGGGTGTTCTGACACCAGTAGCATTTACTTCCCTACTCTTTCTTTTCCCACTACACCCAAAATTACAGACTGTTGATTCCAGTCTACTGCATCTTTTGAATGGGATGTTTAACCAAGGTCCCCCTTCATTGAATCTATCTTTAATACTTTAAACTGTGGGGGGCTCGTCACATACATGAGTGTCTAACACACCCCACACAGCTGTGTAGCTTCACTACCTCAGCAGCTCAGCATTTTACTTTGTCCAGATGTAACATCCCAGGATGCACTACCGCCTTCCACCCCAGAGGAAGTCGTGTGCTGTCAGTTTTCCAGTGGGCACAGGAAACACAGGGCACAGGGCAGTGTGTCTACCTGTTACAGGGGACTGACCTGCACCAGTACCACTCAACGCTATTGTAATACACCTGTGGAGGCAAACTGAGCAAACTGTGGGGGTCACATCCGTGTGTGACTGAGACTTTCACACAATTGTGCAGCGGCTGCAGAGCCTACACAGCCCAGCTGGGGTGTGTTTTAGCTTTATTCTTGTGTAACAGCCAATCAACTGGAGCTGCCCTGTGCCCTGTGGCCCTACGTCTTGTGCTGTCAGCTCCCTGGGAAGAGCTCCAGGCCTGTCTGGACCACAGAGACCCCCCCCACTCAGGCAGAGCAGACTCACTTTCCCCCTCCCCTCGCAGAGCCCCCTGGGCACCAGGTAGTGTCCCAGGTGCGAGGCGAAGAGGCGGGGCGAGGGGCGCGCGGTGTAGTCCTGCCCCTTTTCCGGAAACTCCAGCCAGGGCATGCGCTCGTAGGTGGTCTGCATCTCTGGGGCGCCTGGGTAGTCATTTTCGTGCAGTAGGGTGATGATGTGCTGGGTCCACACGGTGCCTGTGGGACGGCGGGGAGGGTGGAGGGGGTGGGGGGGGTGTGCAGAGAGAGAAGCAGAAAGGGAGACGTCTGGGTGGGAAATAAATCAGCTTCCGGTTTCATTCTTCCACCAGCTTTCCCAAAGCACCTGTACAAACGTGCCAATGCAAACCATATGATACAGTGAGAGACACCTAACATTGAAGGAACACTGCCAGTGTACAGCACATTCATTTTAAAGCATTTAGCATCCACTGACATGCACACATCCTATTCCAACAACCTGGCTCCTCATGAGCCTGTCATTTGCTGCTGCACAGCCAATCGGAATGATTTTCTGAGCGCTGACAATACACTATCAATCACAGCTCCACTGTACTCTTGATTGGACTGGCTGGGCTCTGATGAAACAGTGTTCACGTGTGTTGCTGTACTGGTATTTGCCTGGCTGTAGTGCCTAAGTCTGAGCCACTCAAGAGCCAGTCTGTCTGTCCGTCCCCCCAAAACAAAATCAGCCACTGGTTCTGCTTGGAAAGGGCGCCGTGTTGCTCTCAAAAATAAAACGTTTTCCTTTAAGACTCACGGGGGGGCATTTTTTTTTTTGCTCCGCTGTGAAATTTGCTCCGTTTCGTCTCTCTCTGAAAAAAAAAAGTTCAGTGTGACATCTCTTAATTGCTTCGAAGTGGAAAATACATGGATCTTGGGTGATGATGAGGTTCGTGACGAATCTCCCACGTCGCTGGCATTTCCGCATTTGTCAAAAAAGTTTTACAACTTTTGGCGGAAATTCTGCTTTGGGGGCACAAATCATCACTTTCTATTAATCACAACGTTCTCAACCGGAGGTATCGATTCACCAGGACAGCATGGACTTTGAACCAAAGAGAACCCCAGGAGAAGACGTACTGAGCCCCAGACCCAAGAGCTGTAAGACAGCAGCACTGACATCCGTGTGCATGGACCCCCACTGCCCACACACACGCACCGGCAGTAAACCCAAAGGCAGAGTTTGCACTGTGTCTACGTTCATGGCAGGCGGTGAGAGAGGGAGCCGCTCTCTCCTGACACAGTAACAATCAATTAATCTTCCATACAGGTCAATAAAAAGCCAGCGTCACACACAATCCGTGTAAATGAATAGCGTTCGCGTGTCCAGAGGTTGTTGTTCCTCACAGTTGACTCGGTGTACTAACGCATTAATACGAGAGGTGCATGATTAATCTGTCGGCTCTGTGCCGAGACCAGTGTGCAGTAAACATGCGCGCTCTCCAAATATCGCCCGGGGAATCGGAAGCACAGTTCCGCGACAATGTACGGGAAAAGCAGGTTTCCGTGTAAAAGCAGATCTGTATAAGGTCTCTAAAAGTAAAGAATCTGTGTTCTAAATGCTGGCACCCAGGCTTAAATGCTCTTCTAGGTTTTATTTTGATCCTTATTGGTTTCTTTGAAATCATGCTGGGGTTTTCAAAGGATTGTCTTGGAATTATTCCCACACGAGATTCGATTGGCAGATTTACGTGCCTATCAATAAATATGGGGAATCAATGAGCTCAGAAAAGCACAGAAAAAAAATCTCTAGGGCCAACAAAAGAGTACAACCCGTGTAGAACCTGAGTTGTTATAGTACAGCTTGTTTTATTCAGCTTCCTTAGTGAAACGAAGGTACTATAACACGAGTTGTTTCCTCACGTTGGGGAACTTCCGGTCAGAGATGGGATTGGATTTGGTTTCAGGTTTCTAGAGTATCGAATCTGCGAACTGGGAAAATACGCTACACATCAAACCCCTAAGCACAACAGGCATCGAAAAGCTTGCACGTCTGGGGCACAAAGACAGCTCCTCTATATAGGAAACGCAAATGAACTCGTTTTGAGTCCCACGGTTAAGAATGCAGCCCTGCGTGGCACAGCGAGTCCGTTCCACGCAGCCAATTTGTTAATGTGACCCCAGAAGCGGACACAGCACATCAGAATTATACCACACACACACACAAGAAAAAAAAAACACGGTGTGGGTGTCACGGCGAGCTCTCCTCACTTCCATTAACTCATTCTCTCCCTCACCGGGCACAGCGCTTTGACATTCTGCTCTGCGTGGAAAAAGAAGGCGCCTCACAATATAAATTGACCGAAATCAATCAATCAGTCAATAGTCTAGAAGATAACAAGGTGTCGAGACCAGCTATCAGCAGTAAAATGAAGGCGTGCTTTATCTATGTGTGTGTATGTTTGGAATAGTAATAACATTGAAAAATTCATACTGCATATTCTGAGGTCTATACTTATTGACTAAAAATACCGCAACTACCGTAGAAATACAGTACGCTGATTCCCGGACAAGTCAAAGTGATCCGGAGCCTATCCGGCCTATAGCAGGGGTTAGGGTGAGCAGTGACAGATACAGTAATATACAGGTTCAGGAGGGGAGCTGCATCAGCATGCGTAGGCTGCAAAGGAACAAGAGGTTTATTCCATGCTGAAAAAAAGAAGGAAGAAAACACAACGTTTCGGCCGTGGAGCCTTCTTCAGGTGTGAGCCTTCTTCCACACCTGAAGAAGGCTCCACGGCCGAAACGTTGTTTTCTTCCTTCTTTTTTTTCAGCACGGAATAAACCTCTTACTTGTTCCTTACTAGTTATATACAGTACAGGATCACTGCGCTTTCCGCCCCCTCCGAACTTACCGGACTTCGGGAAAGTCACCAGAAACACGTCACCGTCGCGTATCTCGAAGTCTTCCAGAGAGTCGATGTATTCCGGAGTGACATCTTCTTTGGGGAAGACGAAGCCCTTGTACTTGAAGAGAAACTCGTCGACGGACTCGACCTCGGAGCCGGCGGCCATGGAGACGGACGGGCGGGCGGGCGGACGCAGCGGACGCGCTGTCTTAAAGAGCAATGGCTCCGAGCTGAGCGGATTGCCGGGTCTGAGCGAGAAGGGGCGCCCGGAAGGGTCTTATAATGATTATGCAACCACACCACACTCGGGGGTTTATTGTGGATTAAAGATCAACCAGTCTGTTGCTTCCCTGTTTTTTTTTGCGCGAGAAGCATTGCCAACTATTACCAGCTGTGACCCAGATATGAGGTCCCGACCGCGCCTTTGCTGGGTTCACTCCTACCGTTCCTCATACATAGCTTGAGAATGAAATCTCTCAAAACCAAAACACCCGAGGCGTTTGCTTAGCTGGTAGCCGGCTCCCTCAGTTCCACTGAATTATTATTCCGAGCTATCGCAAATAAAGTCGCTGAACCGGACGCGCTTGTCAAGCTTGGACCGAAAGAGTGGAGCAGCGTCTTGATGGGTTTGCGAGACGGCTGTGTGATACTGTGAGAAATCAGAATTTACCTCACGGTAACCGGCAGTCTTGCCCATATCGACCACTCGAGAAGACGGGTGAACTCAGAGCGCTGGACTCTTCACGTCCAGACAAAATCCTAATCTGATGATTTGCAAAGGCAAACTTGTCTATGTGTGTGAAAATACATTTCCATAACAACAACACCACCAACAACAACAACAATAATAAAAATAATAACAACGATCTTCTTTTGTTCTAGTTTGAATCGGTTGAGGAAATCAGGCAGACATGGCAATTTCATTCTTGTCCTTTATTGCCGTTTATTGTTCCAGGGATATACAGTAGCGCCTTCTTTTCTGGGGGTATAACATTACTCAACTCCAACTCTCCCCACCCACCCCCATGACAGCACCAAGAGTCATGTGACTCCCCACTAAGGACGGCGCTATATTTGGGAAACTAAACCATCTCGGGTGCTGCTTGCAGCAGTACAGATCAGCACTGGCTGATCGCTACCGAATGAGACTGGTCTGTGCTGTGTCTCATTGTGTGTGTGCTGTTTGTAGGGGGGCGACTTCACAGAGCTGCCTGAGAGACTTCCAGAACTTCTTGGAGAACAATTTGGGAATCGTTGTCTAGAAAGACAAAAAATGAGCTTGATCACAGTATGGATTTGGTCATTTGCTTGGACGCCCAGAAAGCAATGTGAGACACGCCCCCTTCCACAGCCGTTGCCCGGGCAACAGGGCCGGCGCCTCAGGCCTGCAGCTCGGTGATATCCCAGATGAACTGCAGGGGGAGCCCTTTCATCTTCTCCCGGTACACCTGGTCAAAGCGCTCATTCTGCGCCACGGTGAAACTGTTCTTCCAGTCGCCGATGGTACCTGCATTTCCAACAGCAGAATCAGAGAGGAAGAACTGAGACTCTTATCCCAGGATGCATCTGTCCTATTCCTGGAACTGTCCTGTTTGTGAGTCCTCTGCTGTCAGCCCCTCAGTTACTTCCCAGCTGGTGCCAGAAGCACCTGCATCAATTGTCCCCAACAATATAAAGTACTAAAACTAATGAACCATAATAAACAATGAAGCACACACGTTTGGGGATAATAGCAATTCTAACTTTCTTCCAGAACTTGATGTAATATTTGGACAACAGTCTCATCAGGAGGACATTGCTGTACTGAATACGATCTGATATTCCTCCAAGTTGAAAAAAACGTGTCAAGATGCAACAGGGAAAGAACCATTACAGATGCCCAGCCTTGGCTGAGAAGGTGAAGCCAAATGCTGTGCTGTCCCAAGGTCCAGTGCAGCAGACAAGCAGCACAGCAATGAGTGGGACAACACTTTCACTTTTACCTTTGCGCAGAAACCTCCCCTTGCTCTTGTCCAGGACATCTTCTGTCATGAACTCGTAGTTGGCTTTGGGGTCCTCCTTCATGTTTTTGAAAGTGGTCTTCTGCACGATCCTGTCAATGGCTGAGTCGTCCAGATTCTTCCCCAAGAACTTGCTGATCTTCACCACCGCGGAGCGCAGATCCTGAGGGGAACAGCACGCAGAGAGACCTCACATCCTCCTGCCTTTATTATAATAAACAAATCTCCAGCTCGATGGACCAGAGTCGTGTGGTTTTCTGAGAAGAGCCCAACAGAGGGATTTTCAAAAATTTAAATAAAATTTAATTTTAGCTCCAGCTCCTTACCCACCGTTCTACATCCATCAGCCTGAATATTTCTGTAAATGCATTTTAGATTTTGGAGCACATACTGTATTTTGCACCCCTCCTTTGCAACTACTATGCAGAAAGCACTGATCTGCTGTGTGTGTGACCGGTGGGGCTGTTCAGTGGAAAGAAATCCACTTTGGTACCAACAGAAGATAAGCAACCATGTTTTCTAATGACAATTTGATTGCACATGCTTTTCTATCAGTTGAGAACTCCTCTATAAGACTTAAAACCCACAGTGCTCTCCAACGTCCTCATGATGCAAGATTTGTCAGGAACCTAACACAGACATGATCACAGCCATGGAGAGACGATACGTACCTTGACCATCTCCTCATAGGTTAAGAAGAGGATGTTAAAGTCATCTTTGTGAGTGTACCATCCCCGGACGTGGTCGAACCAGGATCCAGAGACCACTGGAAAAGATCAAGGGAGATCTCATGGTCACTTGTCAACAAAAAGGTAGATGATGAGTCACCAAGTGAAAAATGAAAAGCAGAATGTCTTCCTATCCTCTACAATCTGTCGTTTAAAAATGATTTTGCTTGAAAATCTGCCATTTAAAAAGATCTCTATACCCTAGGAGTCTTGTATACTTTTTTGGACACTGGACCCGTGGATTTATACAGCACTGAACATCAGGCTGTAGGGGCTCATCCTGGAATAAGGCCTTGGATGTGATCCCCAGGCTCCTTGATGGAAAAACCCATCTGAATCCCAGCACTTCTTTTCCAGGTCTGGAGAAGCATGAACTGAACTTACTCCTGCCACTCAGGAACCGATCCAGCGATTCATCAAAGTCCTTCGGTGTAACAAATCTGACCATGATTTTGGAGAAATGATAGTAAGAAACGCAGATATCTTTGGGGTTCCGGATGACATAAATGACCTAAAATAAACAATCCAAGCAGACAAAGCAAAAGGAGACAACAAAATGGTTAATGCGCTACAAATAGGAAAATTGACTTGAAATTTAAATGATACACAAAGATCTGTCTCTCTGTGGGTTTAGTTGGTTAATCGGTTAGATGTTTAGGAATGTACATTGTCACATGGGTGCAATGATGCTTTTTAAGTGCAAAAGGGGGTGTGCATAGATATAGTGGTGTTGGGTGTCTTGTTTTTAAAGCTCTCTTTGTGTTTTTTGTATTGTGGCCTGAAAAGGAACTGAAATAAACCCTCCTAGACTTTACCTTTTAGAGTCTGTGTGAGCTTTGTGTGTACAGACTTCCCTAATAGGACAAGGGTCTTTCACCGATATCTACAGTATCTGACTGCACTGCAAACTGCACAGAGCTGCCGACGTGAATATTGTCACCCTGGACCTTCAACATGTTGATCCACAGGGACATATTCATTATAACACATCTGGGCGAAGAGTTAGAGAGGGCAATGGCGTCACTGTATGACCACAGAGCCTTGTATAGTAACCTTTGGTTCCTCTTTGCACCCTGACATTGGTTTTTCTCGTATGAGATTCAGCAGAGCACAAGTGTCACAGTGCAAACACACAACAGAACAGGTCAACGCCCCCAAAGTCTCCGGTCCAAGTTCAGTTCAGAAGTCCAGTTAATAACTGGTCACTTGAACTGTATCCCCCAGCTGCAGATGTGAACCATGAAGATCTGCTTTTGGTCATGGTCTCAGACTGGTTTTCAGTTAAATCTCTTCCTGATTGTGCCTGAGGTCAGTTCTATTCTGTTATTGCTTCAGTGGATTGATAATTACAGCTTATTTGTTTCGTTTTAAATCCTTCCATTACCCTTTCACACGCACACCCAATCTGGATTTGCCAGGTCTCACAGAGATCTAACTACACTGTTAACTGCCAGGGGATAACTCTGCATCCTTTCCAACTATAATCCCACACCATCCTGGCAGATCTCCAGCACTCATACAGGACAGCCTGAACAATTCCAGTCACCGTGACCCAATGATATTGCCCAGGTTTGAACCAGCAAACCCGAGTCAACAGATCGCAGCACATATACACTGCTGTGCAGAAGTCTTAGACACTGGACTTTTCTCAGCTCAACTCATTGCTGCTCCTTCGTTATGCATAAGAACAGGTCGGCCATGTTAGATCTTTATTCTGTTGTGCAAAAAGGAATCCTTTAACAGTGTGCAGAGAGGATCAAAATCATATTCATGCGGACAAACCAGGTAGATATGATTATGGATTAGCTGCTACACTTCATACTCGTTCCCCACGTGTACAGCACCTCATTATCTTTCTGTTCAAGGTGAACTGAATCTTCCTGAAGGGCGAGCTCGATTCCTCTCACCTAGACGAAACTCTAGTATTCCATTCATCCGTTTTTAATCATCGCTTTTATCAATTGAGGGTTGTGGTGAGCCAGCGGGCACAGGACACAGGGCACAGGGCAGTGTGTACACCCTGGATGGGACACCTGTCCAGTACAGAGGACTGAACTGCACCAGTACCACTCAACGCTATTGTAATACA